ACACGTTTGAGACATAACAATGTTATTGTCATTCTTTATTAATACAAAGCAATTTTGTGTGGTGGGAGCCCATTAATAGTTTTGCTCTGGGGCCTGTAATATCCTAGTACCACTGAAATCACAAATGTTATAAATTCAAAATATTTTGGAGCTTAGTTTCCATATATGGACTGTATGAACTGTGCAGTGGACACTACATTTTAAAACTTTTGAAATTGTGTTTAAATTATTCATTTATTTTTAACCAAAAACAAGGAAAATCCATTCTTCCATAAAATTACCTTTGAAGGTAGAAAGCCTAGCAAAGGTATACAAACTACAGAAATTCAGGGATCAAATGCTGCATGTCTAAAAACTCCTGCAAAATCTGACCTGATACCTCAGACTTATAAATGATTAATTTAGGCTTTACAGGGCGACACAATATTTTAGCATGATGTTTTTTTCCTCTTGACTCAGTAAAGCCAAATATTTCCATTTTAAACATAAAAAATCTTACACAGTGCAGCTTTAAGGTCATCCTGCCCCAAAGGGTCTTGTCTGAAATGAACAACCTCTGATATCTCTATGGTAATAAATATAGGAAGTAGTACTGAATTAGACTTGAATTAAAGCTGAATTAAATCAAAGGTCTGAACATCCTCAGTTCAGCAGAGCAGAGTTCATTTTCTCTTGTAGTTGGTGGTTCAGAGTCAATGTTGAGATAGTGAATCAGCCTGCAGGTGGCGCCAGGGCTCATTTTCCTCATGCACTAGTGTGATGTTGTATATATGCCAGCATGCGGTGTTTACCCACTGGATCAAGCATATAACTACATATAGATGTTAAGAGATGTTTGTCGGTTATTTTGGTGCTTGATTTTGCAGACATCGGTTCTCAGAGACCAGACGATTTTACTAGCCAATCGTTTGATGCATGTCAAGGTCTGTGATATTTGAGATGTAAAATGAACAGTCAGTTCTCAAAGTTGACATTTTGGACTCAGCGTATCTCCGAGAAGGTGGGTCTTGTGAGGTGGTCCTGTTCAGCAACAGTGAGTACCTGCAGACAGTGATCCGAACAGGGACAAACCACAAACCAGCGGTTATCCCATCTGGTCAAAAGTGACATAATGGCTACTAGCGGTGGGAATCCCTAGGCACCTCACTATTCTATTCGATTACGATTCAGAGGCTGCGATGTGATTATAAAACGATTATCGATACATCTTGATGCATCTTTTTTTGCTATACAGGATTTCTATTTTCTCACTGTGTGAGGACTTCGTAGTTTTACAGCAAAGTATTTGTAATGATCCACAATGAATTTACTTCCAATATATTTTATTCATAAATCAAATGGAAGTTATGTGGCAAGTGAACTTAAAGGCTCTCATTCACTGCTGTTTGGAGCACATGAGACGCTGCTGCCACTCATCTCTGATAAAATACGCTGTTAGGGTGACATAAGATCCAGTGGTAATGGATGTCCATGCAGCACATGTTACAGCTATTCTACTCATTTTCTTTAATGATTTTATAACTTTGGTTTTGGTCTCGTTGTAGAGAGTGGTGGGATCTCTGTGTCAGTAAAATATCTTTGAGACGGGACGCCAAATCTCGGCTCCAAAGTGTGCAACATAGCTCAAAAGCCCTGGTTCGCAATGACTGAGAACTGCCGTGCAGACTGCAGGTCACTTGGCAACGAAGTCTCGCCTGGCTAGTAGCGGAAGAAAAGGCACAGATTTAAGATGAACATCTAGAGTCAAATGGACTTATTCACATTTATAAACAGCGCAGCTGGTTTCCTGGTACGTTAAATCTGCAACGAGAGACTGTCAAACACTAAAAGTCGCAAAGATGAAGTCGCTTCTCTTTCTAATTTTCCTGGTCAACCTTACACGGTGCCGCATTTACATTCAGCGCCTCAGGCAGAATTTAAGGTGGAACGGGAAAATTCAAACAAAAGACTGGAGAATAAGTGACTTCAGCCTCGTAAAACAGTCGAACGATGAGAGACATTTTACAAGAAACTGTTCTACTTTTAAGGAAGCGTTTTCTGGTGGAGATGGGAGGAAAGTGGCTATAACTAGTTAAAGCTTAAAGCAGAGCAAAGTAAGTCAGCGTTTTCGTACTGACACAGACTGGACATTAAATGTTGTGGCTCCCAAGGTGGTTTGATTTTTGTTGAAAGGACAAAATGGCTGTTCTTAACATTTGGGTTGTGACTCCTGACCTAACCTGGCTTTAATGCAGAGGGAGTCGGTCAGATTTCTCGCTCATCCAGTGGTGTTTTTGTTATGTGCCGCCACAGACTGTCTGGGTGCTGCGCTTCCGTGCTTCCAAGTTCCGCCTTTTGCGTTCAGTCAACATTACGTTCTAAATTAAATCTTTAGAAAATCGATTTTTGACATTTGTGAATCAATTCAGAATCGTTCACGTCCGAATCACGATGCATCTAAGAATTGATTTTTTCACGCACCCCTAATGGCTACTGTGGCACAAGTCACAGAAATTGTGAATGATGGTTACAGGAGGAATGTGTCACAACACGTAGTGTATCACACCCTGCTGCGTATGGAGCTGCGGTGCCTCAGACCGGTTAGAGAACCTATGCTAACCCCTGTCCACAGCTGTAAGTGCCTAAAATGGGCACTGGAACTAGACCTTGGAGCAATGGAAGAAGGTCTCCTGGTCCAGTAAATTCAGTCTGATAGAAGTTTACACCAATTGCACTTCGTTTAACATGACTAAATAACATGGAAACTGCTGAGCTGATAGATTGTGGTGAACAAACAAAAAAGAAGAAGGAGGAAAAACCATTAAAGCCATAAAAGCTCTCAGTTTAAGAGGAGTAAAGGAATGAAAGCAGGTTCATTCCATTTAGATGCTGCTGCCCTCTTGTGGTCAGAGAACAGATTGAATGTTTTAAATGTTCCAAATGTCTCCAGATGAAGTTTAATACAAAACATTAGTCTTTAACATTACAGTGTAGAACAGCTCTCAGTTTAATAGAAGTGTAAAGATTTTGTATTACAATGACTGTTTATTGCTTAGTATTCTGGTGTATATGGTTACACCGTAATAAACACATTTTCTTCAATTCCTACATCAGTGTCTCTGCATTTGAAAGACCGATAAGACTACTGAAAAAGCTTTTATAAATGTTACCAATAGTGATGATGAAGAACCTCCTTCATGATGATGATGAAGGTGTGAGTGAGTCTCTCTCTGAATATTCCTGCTGTAACACTGAGTTTAGTCTAAAAGAGGCTCCATCAGTGAACTTCACTCCTTTTATTAGTATTAATGTGATGGATTATTGTCTAGCGAGCACATATGGAGCGTTAGCTTGTGAGAAAAACAGTCTGCCATCTGAAGCAGATCATTCAGTTTCCTCATATGAGAAAAGATTTCTGCCTGTTATTGTTATTCAGCTTAGAAAGTCAATAAATGGCCTCATTCAGATGGACTGTTCTGAGAAAGAGCTGCCAGATATTTACAGATAGTCCCACATTGAACTCTGTAATTAAAGTCTAAATGGATTATTTCCTTTAGTGCTACGAAGTTCAGCACTAAATGTTTTCCATGCAGTTAAAGCAGAAGAGAAAGAAGTGCTAACCTGCCCTGCCTGCATTTCTGTATAATGATCATTTGTTGACTTTCCATAACAGTTAATAGACTTTTCTCTTTCTGTTTAATTAGCATCACTTTATTATTACTGAGATATTTTACTGAGATATTTTGAAAGAGAAAGAAAGAAAAAACTGTCACTGTAATGAAAAATAAAACTGAGCTTCTTTATTGAAGCTCAGTTTTATTTTTCATTACAGTGACAGTTTTTTCTTTCTTTCTCTTTCAAAATATCTCAGTAAAATATCTCAGTAATAAGAAACCACATGACATTGTTATTATACTGTTATTAATATTGTTTGTTTCTGTTTTAATGTTGTCATATAAATCATTAGATATCATGTCAGTTGGGAAACTGTAGACATATTTTATTTACCTACTTTTTCGTTGGTCACTCTCACAGTTATCTGATCAAATTTGCCCCCTGTCTGTTTCTGATAAATAATATTTTGGAAGGATTTGAAAACTTGTTTAGCTGGAAATCTGGCAACCCAGAGTGGCGCTCAAACACAGTGACTGGAATGAAGGTGGAAGTGAAAGTAGTCGCTGCTTCTTCCGCTCTGGACACTGAAGTGGAGAGTCGTGTGTGAGATTAGTGGAGAGTTTAAACTCGGTCTTATTATTATGGATCTGCTGTTATAGACAAAAAACCTGATATGAACTGATTTAAAATGTGGACATATTTCACCACCAGCAGCGATATGACTGTATGAAGAACAGCGAAGGTGAGAGCAGTTAGCATCATGCTAACCAGGATAAACTGTGAACGTCGAACCTGAGTGAAAAAGAACAACAAGTAATATAAACAAAACATTAAATAAAATATTTCTTTATGATTATGATTATGGGTCATTCTACAGAAACGTCCACTTTTCATCTATCAATAGAAGTTACTGGTGTTACTGATCGTCGTTGGTATTACACATAAGGTGTAACATCAGAGTCAGTAACTCCAGAGACATTTTTAATGAAAAATGCTTTTTACAAAATGGCTGCAACAGAACGTCGAACTACATGTTGTCAGTCATGGAATATCCACTAAAATATGTAATTTCCATTTGTATTCTATTTTTTCCCAACTACCTAAGAATGAAGTAGGTCACACCAGTGACTTCAACTAAAAGCTTCATATGAAATCATGAGCTAAATGAGAAATGTTCTGATAACTGAAAAGAAACAGTGGACTTACTATGTGCTTTTCTTCATAGACCTTCAGAAAATAGGTAAAAGGAAGTCAAGTGATGTTATGAGTGTGATTGTTATTTCAAACTAAGAGATTTTTTGTTATGCAGTAACACCAGCGACCGGACTCCTGGGGACCACAACTTTCATTATGTATGTTAAAATATTTATTTGTCATTTGTTTTCTTTTTGTCATCATGCATGTCATAGTGATGTAAAGATTGTTGCAGTTAAAATAGCAAAGAAAACGTGTTTCTCACCCTTTAAACATGACTGTTAGGACAAGCACTTCTGTGGTGCTTGGAATTCAAGATAATTGATTTAAAAACCAATATTGCTAAACTGATGGCTCAAAAATGTGTAATTGTTAAAAGAACGTATTGTTTTATTTTAAAATATAAAGAAATTATAACCCTGATATGTAAACACTAGGGACAAAAAATGTACGTTTCCATAGAATGACTCAGATCATTTATGTGTATTTTTATGTAACTGTGAGTAAATCTCTCTCTCTCTCTCTCTCTCTCTCTCTCTCTGTAGGATTGTATTAGTGTGAGTCTGTAGGAGGAGATAAAGAGATAAAATGGCGGCTGCAAGAAACAGTAAGTTAAACTTCCAGAACCTACAAAAGGTTTTACTGTGAACATCATTAAATAATATTCAATCAGAGAGTTTATTTTTATTGTGGAGACACACGAGACACAACTATTAATGTGTGTGTGTGTGTGTGTGTGTGTGTGTGTGTGTGTGTGTGTGTGTGTGTGTGTTTACACAGATGAGTTTAAACTCTTTGGACCCTGTGATGATGAACAGCATCAGTCTCCCTCTATGGCCACTCTCTCCTGTCACCTGTCTCCTGAAATCAGTGCTGTTGCCATGGAGATCAGGTGGTTTAAGGGGACGGACTGTGTTTGTCTCTATAAGAACAGGCAGGTGACAGAGGGGAGGGGCTACGAGGGCAGAGTGAGTCTGTTGACTCAGGAGCTGCAGAGAGGAAACGTCTCCTTACAGATCAGAGACTGTAGAGGGTCAGATGAAGGAGATTATCTGTGTCAGGTCACCAATGGAGACACAACAGAGGAGTGTACAGTAAATGTGTGGGGCAGTAAGTATTCCAGAAGTTCACTCTACATAAACTCATCATCATCATCATCAGCGTCTCAGAATGAAAGATGAAGAGACAGAAATGAGAAACACAGATGTTCAGAATGGTGTTGTGTTCAGATAAAGGAGGTAAAACATACAGAGGATAAATGATGTTAATGTGGAGTGAAGGACAGATGGAGCATTTCAGTAGAAAAACAGTGACTCTGTTTCTCACTCTGACACTAAACCTCCACATCATGACTGCACAGTGGAAAACTTACAACTGCAGCTGAATTAAAAACTTCTAGAAGACAAAGTAAATATTTTAGATGAAAAATAAAAACTAAAATATTATATTTAATATGTGACGTCACTACAGGCTGCTGACTCACTTTCCCAAAAAAATCCTGTTCTTAACTAATTAAAGCTGCAGATCCACAAACTACAGACACTAAAAGGGGCGTGTTCAGAGTTGAGCTGCGCGTAGTGAGGAGATAAAACCGAAACTGCGCATCTTTATTCACACTTCAGTCGTATCTGTGGACTCGCGCGCTGTTCAGACTCGTTGCGCGCGGGGCGGAGTTGACCAATAAAGAGGCGAGTCTCAGTTCTCCGATTCAGACCCTGAACTTCAGCTCATTTCTCTTGAGCGATGTCCACTCCCGCCAGGAGCTGTATTAAGTCCAGCGCCCCCGTCTGACCATTTGATGAAAGCACAATATTTCAAACTGAAATTCATGTCTTTGAGTGGGAAATAAAAACAAAGTCATCACGACCAAATTTAAATATAAATATCATATAAATGAATAAAAGTATTTATAAAAACATTAAAATACAGATAGAAGATTAAATCTGATCTTAATCTTCTAAAGAGTTGAAGGTGAAGAATGTGAGTGAATGTGATCTCCAGCCTGTAGATCTGGTGATGATGGTGAAGATTCTCTACATCTGTAAAATCACAGCAATACTACAGTTTTACAGCTGAGTTATTTCAAGCCAGCTCACCTTCAGCCTGACAGGACACATCATGGATTTCCATCAACAAACATTCAAGATAAAAGCTTCATTTATTTAATCAAATGAAGCAAAGTTTTAGTTTAAACTCTAAATCAGTTTAGTTCAGTTCTAAATCATCTTAAATATTGAGTTCTTCTTACAGAATCACTGAACTGAGCTGAAATATGAACTACATACACTGTAAAAGTCAAACAGGCTGTTTTTGAGGTTTGAGTTACAAGAATTGTGTTGATTGTCTGAAGAAGCTTTAAGAGTAACGTGGATCAAAATGACTTCACAACTAAAAACACATTTATAGATCTTTAGTCATTATTTCCTCTTAAGGGACAAATCCTTTATCCTCCAAGTTAATATATTACAATCTACAAAAGTGTATTAAATTACATTTTGTTATATTATTTAAAAATATTTTTGTATTCTATTATTTAATAATAATAATGAATAATTATAATTATCTATAATAATAATAATATAATAATAATAATAATAATAATAGTCATAGAAAGTGGGTAAAAGCTCACAGATGTCCTGACTAAATGATGAGGGCAAAACTAATCTCATTTATTGACGTACTTAGTAAATAATACATTTAGATGTATTACTATTAGTACTAGTAGTGTATGTTATACTATTGTAGACTTTATTTTTTCATTTAAAGTTGCTCCCTCTGGCTTTTTCAGAGCTTCAGGTAAAACTCTAATAAAGAAGCTCTGTGTGAGGAGCTGATGGGTCTGTTATTCGGTCATTTAGAGAGAGTTTATGTGGTTCTTTAGTGAAGAAGCGTTTCTGAAAAAAATTGCTATTTAATGAACTTTCTTAAAAACATGTTAATGAAGTGATTTTGGGAAATGAACCCAGAATGATCAGCACAGTAAAAAAGCCTGACCTGCTGCTTGACGGCTCTGATTTGACCTGTTTTCAGCTCTCAGTTCTCCACATAAACCTGAAAACGTGTTGATGGTGTTTGAGTATTCGGCTCTCCTGAAGCTCCGACTCCTGACTTATACCAGTTAATCTTAGTTATTATATGAGTTAATCTGTGTTCATTCTGTAAATGTACTTTATCTGATTTTAACTGCTGCAGGAATAAAAACAATTCCTTCTCATGTTTGTTCATCAGTAATGAAGCATAACACATTATTAATTACTGATAATTACTATATTAGTTCATGAGTTGTTGATGCATAATTACTAGTTTACTAAGGAACCTTATTGTAAAGTGTTACCAATCATTTCTATAAGGGTTGAGTTTCTGCTGTAGGTTTACTCTTTAACTGTTTAGCTGAACGTCTTCATGAAGTTGTACTGAAAGCATTGAGTGACAGTTCAGTAGTGAAGGATGAAGAACTACAGTACAGATGAGAAAAGGAGATTCTGATAAGGAGATAAAGAGTTAAAAAGACTGAAATATTATAACTATTATAACTGTAAAAGTGTTTCTCATGGAGATTTGACTAACTTTGTGCTTCCTTCTGTTTTTATCCCACAGTACGGTGGGTGAGTACATAACTGTTTCCTTCTTTCTCTGCTGGTAGTGACTGATTTTATACTCTTATCACATCAACTACATTCAATACAGACATCAAGCAGCTACATAATATTGAGGTTCAGGTAAATTTCACATGATGAACAAAGTCTCTGATCTCAGAATGAAAGCTGACTTCATCTCCCTCCTTCCTTCCCACAATGCTCCTGTGCATAATCCCACTGCACTGCAGAAATGTAGAGACAGTGAAGTTCACTGATGAGAAAAAGACACAACAAATAAAAGCAGTCTGGCTCTGTTGGGAGTGATGTCACTGTTCTTATGTGATGATATATTTGAGTCGTTCATCATCAGTACATCATTATCATTAGAGTGTCTCTCATTACTGTAGTTTTCCTCTCCTCCATTACTGAAAATAGCCCAGAACACACACAGCAGGAGCTTCTGACACACACTCACACACACTATCTGCCTGTTTGATGAGTCTCTATATCAGTGACTCACAACAAGCAGCAAATAATGAAGAGTCAGCAGCTCTGAAAGACTCGATTACTGAGATCCTCTCATCTCTTTCACTTCCATTCACTTCATTTAAGAATCAGCGTCTCTTATTCAGTCTGCAGAGTCTCTCAGCACAGATTTACTAGATGATTTTTTTTGGCTTTAATTATGAAATATTCCTGCTGTTTTATTCACTTCTATACCCAGTAGTAAGATAGATAAGAGAGGAGTGAATGTTGTGTTTCCCCAACTTTGAAAGAAAATCTGATACAAACAGTATCTTAAGTATTTAATTCAAATGAACAGAGATGGATGTCATAGCAGTTTCTTAGTCAGATCACAGAGACTTTCTTCTGATATTTTCTGCTCAAATGTTTAAAACATTAAAATGTTCTTTGTATTACAAGTCCTTATTTATTTATATTATGTGACACTCAAATAATATAGTTAATC